AAAAAAAAATTAAAAAAAAAAATAAAAGCAAGGAAAAAAACAACAGAGAGAGAGGAAAATAAAGCCCAAGAAAAACAGCAGATGAGCATGGGGCTTCTCACATGGGCATCTGGTGGAGAGGAGAGTTTTAGTTCCCAGATAGTCTTCAGTGAGATGAAGATAAGTGATTTTATGGCATGTTATGAACTTGCTCCCCAATTCTTCCATATCCCTGTCGTGGTTTAACCCCAGCACCAACACGGTTGCTTACTCCCCCCCTGGACAAGGGAAGAGAATTGGAAGAGTAAAAGTGAGAAAACTCATAGGTTGAAAAAAAAACAGTTTAATAATCAAAATATAATAATAATAATTGTAATGAAAAGGGAAGTAACAAAGACAGAGAAATAAAACCCACAGAAAAAGAAGAGATGCAGCTGGTAACAGTTGCTCATCACCAACCGACTGATGCCCAGCCAGTGCCTGAGCAGAGTGTCCCAACCTCCCAGTCCCCTCCCAGCTCCTTGTGCCCCCCAGGCTGCTCACTGGTGGGGTGGGGTGAGGAGCACAAGAGGCCTGGACTCGGTGTAAGGCTGCTCAGGAGTGTCCAGAACACCCCTCAATTATCACATCCCCATACAAACTACTGTAGAGGAAATTAACTCTGTCCCAGCCAAACTCAGGTAGATGGAAATACAAAGACTTACAAAGAAAAGAGTTTTGTTTGTGTTAAATAACTAAATTACACTCATCAGTAACAGGTTCTACTTTTTACCCATTTCACATCACTGAGCACCTTAGGGTACAAATGCTGCAGTTCCCTTTTGCAGCAGTCCTTTCTTGATGTTCTTTAGTCTCTATTTTTTGGCTGTGACAGATTTGGTAAACATCTCTTGAAAACCTTGGCATAAAGAGTTCCTTTTCAGGAACTCCTAATGTCAGTGCAGATGTTTCAATCTTCATAAATCATGTGAAATAATTTAACTGATATTGTGTGCCTGTGAAATAATGAGATATCTTGGTACTGAGCACAAGTTTTATTCTGTTTTGAGTTTAGGTGGTTCAGAAGCTGACCCAGATGATTGGGAAGAACGTGAAGCTCTATGACATGGTGCTGCAGTTCCTGAGAACCTTGTTCCTCCGGACGAGGAATGTTCATTACTGCACACTAAGGGCAGAGCTCCTGATGTCACTGCACGACCTGGAAATCAGTGAAATCTGCGCCGTCGACCCCTGTCATAAGGTATTGATTGTGTGGGAGAGACAGGAGTGTTCCTGGGGAATGTTTCACCCACTCCTGTGTGTGCCTGCTGCTCGGCAGGACCAGCCTAGGGAAGATGACCTGGAGAGAGTGCAGACCTGGAATCCAAAACTCATATTCCTTGGAACCTCAGGTGGAGATTCCATCTTTGTGTGGGAGAGACAGGAGTGTTCCTGGGGAATGTTTCACCCACTCCTGTGTGTGCCTGCTGCTCAGCAGGGACTTCAGCCTAGGGAAGATGAAATCTCTGTGAAGAGAGTGCAGACTTGGAATCCAAAACTCATATTCCTTGGAGCCTCAGGTGGAAATTCCATCTTGGTTGACCAGCAGCTTGCTTGCACTTCATAACCCATGAATCACTCAGATTTATGGTGTTTGTGCAGTGTTAAAGACAACATCTAATCTGATCTGTAGGGATGCCTCAAAATATAATCAAAACCATGAGCCAGCCCCAGGTTCTTAATCAAACCTTGCTTCCCTCCCTGGTGTGCCTGGCATGATGCACCCCATCTGTCAGTAAACTCTCTGAGTAACAGTGGATCTTGAATTACAAGAAAACATTAAATTATTAAACTATTGGGGGGTGACAGATGTTTTGTTGATGTCACACCAGGGTCTTTTTACTGGTCCTTTGTGGCCAGTGTCACTGATCTAGAACACAGCTTTTTCTTTTAAATAATGTTGCTAAATTTTATGTTCAGCTTCTGGAGGACACGTCCCAGAGCAGTGATGTTACTGCATGTTTTTTGATGTCTCCTGATCAAGAGTCCCAAAATCAGTAGACAGACAGTGACTGTATAAAAAAGGGGAATTTGTGTTCAAGCTGCAGATCGTTCTCAGCAACCTCATTTTGCCACTGCAGAGAAAGGAAGCCATGATGAAAGTGTTGCAGAAAATTCAGCAAGTTGGTTTTTGACAGCTGAAATGCTGGGGGAAACACATGTTGTTTTCTGTAAGGGGGGGAAAAAAGCCCTTAATTTTAGGTCCGATAAAACACTTCCACTTCACTCTCTTTTCCTGTGTTGATAACACAGCTGTAAAGCAGAAGTACCTCTACTGTCAGCATCCCCTGGGTTGAGGGTGGGAGGGGTGTTGCTGTGGCTAAAATATCCCATATTATTATTGCCAAGTGATGCTGCTTCTTTGTCAGCCTCCTGCTTGTGTAAATCCACACAAACTGGGTGGTGTATTTCATACAGGACCATTCCTTAGTGGCCCAGGGAGGGGAGAAGGTGACCCCAGGTAAACTCACATCAGTATCTCTGAGCTCCTTTTGGAATGTTTCCTTTTCTGACCTCTCTGTGACCAGCTTGCTACCGTGCCTAAGTAGATTAATAAAACACATTCCTTCCAGCTATTTGGAGGTGATTCAAGCCTGTTTTCACTAACATTGTGTATTTTATTGCTGTTTTTTTGAGTTGCTGTGGTTCATAAAGCTTTCTCCTTTTTTCTGACAGTTCACCTGGTGCCTTGATGCTTGCATTCGGGAGAAGTTTGTGGACAACAAGAGAGCTCGGGAGTTGCAGGGCTTTCTGGATGGAGTGAAGAAAGGACAAGAGCAAGTGTTGGGGTGAGGCATGCAGGCTGTTTATTGGAAAACTGGAAATGGGTTCCTGGCAGTCACAACATCTGACAGGTGTTGGAGGTGGTAACTCTTCCCTGGAGCCACCTAACAGCTCTTCTGTGGTCAGGTCGAGGACATCCCTGAGCGTTCCCATGCTGGGGCACACCAGGCATGTCCTGGTGACACAGCTTGTCTGGCTTAAGTCACCACCCTTGAGTCATCCCTGTGGCCTGTAACTGACTGTGGGGCCTCCCCTGCCTGATTTCAGTAGTTGTTTCAGATAACATGCCTTTTCAGGTCCAAGGAATAACATCCGTGGTGTTTTCACAAAGCAGGAGAGGATTATCAGATGGACAACTATAGGTAGTGACAGACAGAAACAGAGGTTTTGCATTACCATCAAAAGGGTGTTGTTACAGGACTTGCCCTGTGTCTGCCTCTCTTTAAGAGCAGCAGAGTGCTTATAAAAATGCAGTGTGCACACACACCACGTTGATGTTACACCTCATAGCTGAGAGGATTACCCCAAGGAGCAGGCTCAAACACCTTACTCTAGTGAAGCACCCTCTTGTCCTACAGCTGTGTGTGGAGCTGTATGGCAGGGCTGGTTGTTCTGTATGACATGTATTTGATTTTTTTTTTGCTTCTCAGGGACTTATCAATGATCTTGTGTGATCCCTTTGCCATTAACACCTTAGCCTTGAGCACCATAAGGCACCTGCAAGACTTGGTTGGGCAGGACACCTTACCCAGGGTGAGTGTCACAGCTTGTGTACCTGATCCAAATGGTCTTAATTGAATAGCATTAATCAGCAAAGGGCTGGCACTGTAGAAGGAGTAAGATAAAGTTCTCAAATGCATGTGCAAGTTGAAATAAGGGAAACGTGATACTACCTGTCCCTTTGTGGCACGTACCTCAGAGCTCTGCAGGAGCATTATTTGGAGTTGGGCATTTTGGAGCTCTCTGAGCTGACAGGGAATTCTTTGCATGGCTCATTCTATCCTAACAGCTGTAGAGTCCTACACAGAATGAGTGCCTCCCTTTTTTGTCCTCCCATCCTTGGCCTAAGAGCCTTTTTTCCCTGCTGTGGCAGACGTGGTGGATTGGTTTACACTGTCCTGGGCTGCTGGCTGTGATACAGACACAGTCCTGCAAGTAGTGTTTGCAGGAGGTGCTTAAAAGTTAAAGCAGGGGGTGGCCTTGCAGGTGTCTGAGCAGTGAGAGGCATTTGCTGGTTTTATCCCTGAGATGTCAAAATTTCTTGTTGGCTTGAATAACTTCCTCATTACAGTTGAAGTCTGAGAATAGCTTTGGTTTCAGGGCACAATATAAATGAAAACTCATTGTCATTCTTACACACACTCTCTTACTTCAGCTGATTTGATTTGGGCTGTCACATGTTATGTTTCAGGTTAGTCATTAGGCTGGACGTGTTTAAAAACAACACTGTGATCAGCTCAGCTGCAGAGTTTTTGGTACATTATGAAATGCCACAAACCCCCACAAAGCCCTAGGTGTGTCTGTTATTTGATGCCTATTTGAGGAATCACTTTTCAGTGAAAGCAGAGAAGTGATCTCCTCTAGCAGTCTTCAATAAAGCTGCTAATCCAGGAGAGCTTTGAATGTAAAGCATCACTTCAAAGTAAAAACCTGTCTGTGCAGCTTGTGGAAGATGAAAATAGATGTTTTTCTTCTCTTCTTAAAACTGGAGGAAAGCCCAGATCTGCTGCTGCTCCTTAGGATGCTGTCTTTGGGACAGGGGGCCTGGGACATGATCGACAGCCAAGTCTTCAAGGAACCAAAAATGGTGAGCCACTGGAACTCCACAGAATTAAGCCAATTTAGACTTGTTTATTATTTTATTGTATCCTTGATTTTATGTTAATTCTGCACACCTCTCAGTCATAACTCGGGTAGGAAAAACATGTATATGTTCACAAAGCAGCAGCTGAAGTGGACAAGCTGTAAGCTTCATTTACCTGTTTTTTTATTTACATGAATGCCTGGCCCTTGCTGTTTTAACATCGACAGGGGGCCTGGGACATGATCGAAAGCCAAGTCTTCAAGGAACCAAAAATGGTGAGCCACTGGAACTCCACAGAATTAAGCCAATTTAGACTTGTTTATTATTTTATTGTATCTTTGATTTTATGTTAATTCTGCACACCTCTCAGTCATAACTTGGGTAGGAAAAAGATGTATATGTTCACAAAGCAGCAGCAGCTGAAGTGGACAAGCTGAAAGCTTCATTTACCTGTTTCTTTATTTACATGAATGCCTGGCCCTTGCTGTTTTAACATCAAACTAAAAAAAACTCTATTCAACTGCACTGGCTGCATTTTGTTCCTGGGAATTTCCACACAAGTGACAAGTTTGTCAAACAGACCTTGTGTGAGGCAAGCAGGATTTCAGAGGCTGTTCTGAAACTCTGACAACAGTGTAGCAGCTCTTCATTGACACTAAAAACATTTTCCCTTTCCAGTTATCTGTTGTTGCAATTTTATATAGTGCCACATTCAGCTAAAATCCTTCCAGGCTTTGGAAATACTTGGCCCAGTATTACAAGCAGTTTGGGAGCTGATACATTCAGCTGGTGGCAGGAGGGCTGACCTTGGTGTTGCACAGTGAAGAAGAATTTGCTGTTTCTCTTCTGAACTATAAAGCAGCAAATACCTACCTAGGGGGATGTTTGAAGTCTCCAAAATACACACTGCTGGCTGATTGCACATTTAAATTGAGCACAGGAAGGGGAGGTGTGAATGCTGGAACAGGGAGGGTGAGATTCAGGGTAGCTCTGTGATCTGACTGGGAAAGGTGCTCACATGGATCCCTCAGAAAGAAACTGAACATTTTCCCTGAAGGAAATCTCCAAATCTGTGTTTGAAATCTGTTTTATTTGTGATTGCCACACGCTGTAACTTCCCTCTCCCTGAGGTTGGTCCAACACCAGCTGTTGTGGTGACTGTTCTGGCTCTGCTTTGATCCCTGTCCACGCAGGGAATGAACAGAAGGATTTGGAATTCTTGATAAAACACTTTGGGACTGTCCCTAACACAGGGTGCTTGCAGCAGTAGTGGAACAGATCTCAGAAGAAATGAGATGTAGCTGTTGAAAGGGGATTTGAGCAGAGGTGTTTCTGGAGAGGGGGTGAAGCAGTTTTCCTGATTACCAGTGGATCATGTGGAAGTGAATTATTCAAGAATTTTGCCTAGGACTGGTTGTCTGAAAGCCTCTTTTCCTATGTGTAGGATGAGGCTCATAATGCTGCCTCCCTATTAGTTCTGTCACTCTAGGGCCATGACGTGGCAGGAGCTGACTGATGAAAGTGTTCTTCTCCCTCTGTTCTTCCATCCCTCTAAGGAAGTCGAGCTGATCACCAGGTTCCTGCCTCTGCTGATGTCCTTCGTGGTGGACGACCACACGTTCAATGTCGACCAGAAGCTGCCCTCTGAGGAGAAGGGGCCAGTTCCCTACCCCAGCACCATTCCTGAGGCTTTCACCAAGTGTGTAACCTGCCCCACCACCTTTGTACATCTGGTCTGGTGTCCAGTGTCAAACAGCCAGGAGCCAGGAAAAAACACTGTGTGTGGTGAAACAAAGACAGAGAACAGATTCCCACCATGACTCCTCAAATAACATTTATCTACAACACATAATGTTTCTTGTAATGATCATTCTTTTGGCACATTGAAGATGAAATTATTGGGTATTGTTTGTGTGGTATTTTTGAGCACAGATCTTACAAGGAGTGACTTGAGGGAACTGGGGCTATTTAGGCTGAAGAAAAGGAGGCTCAGGGGAGACCTCAACCTTTACAGCTCCCTGAAAGGTTGTAGGGAGGTGGGTGCTGGGCTCTTCTCTCAAGTGACAAGTGACAGGACAAGAGGAAATGGCCTCAGGCTGTGCCAGGGGAGGTTTAGGTTGGATATGAGGAAAACATCTTCCCCTTGAGTGTTGTCCAGGGCTGTGCCAGGCTGCCCAGGGCAGTGGTGGAGTCCCCACCCCTGGGGGGGTTTCCAAGCTGTGGAGATGTGGTGTGAGGCACATGAGTCAGTGGTGAGCTGGCAGTGCTGGGTTAATGCTTGGACTTGATCCTAAAGGTCTTTTTTAACCAAAACTCTTCTTGTGGCTTCCCACTCAGCTCTTGCTGCCTGGGGGCTGGCTGGGTGCAGCTGAGCACACGTGCCTGGCTCTGGGGAGTGCTGGTGGAAACTGTAACATTTGCAGTTCTGCCACACAGCCACCAGCTCTCTGCTGATAACTATTGCTCCATGGAGGTCAGAGAGATGAGTAAAGCCTCTGTGTGCTGTGTCATATTCAGATCTTGCACTAATTTCCAGCACAGTTCCTCTTTGTATGCCAGAATCTGGAGTACTGTATCCCAGTGGCTGGACTCTCCTCTATCACAGTGTTGATATTTGACCTTCAGGACACTAAACTAAATTGTATCATTCTTCAGGATTTGGCCTTCCCCTAGAACCCCTTTGGAATGAGCACGTGTATCATTAATACTATCAGAAATGTTGACAATCAAGTCCCAGTGTTTGACTGTTACACAGCTCAGTGTTTGCTGGGCAGTACATTTTTCTGGACCATGATAATGAACATAGTGATGATCATCTGCTCTCTGGTGGGTTTGAGGTTAGCCACTGCTGTAACTGCTTGATTGCTATCCAACAGTATTTTAAACCCTCTTTTCTTTAAAAAAAAAACAAACCAAACACCACAAACCACCTGTTTTAGCTTCACTGATTAAGAAACTTTGGTTCTGCCCTAACAGGTTCTTGCAGGAGAACAGAATAGCTTGTGAGATTGGGCTGTATTACATCCTTCACATCACCAAACAGAGGAACAAGAATGCTTTCCTGAGGCTCCTGCCAGCACTAGGTAAGTCTTTGTCTCATCTTTTATTCTACAGCTGTTTGCCTGGTACTGGACACCCAGGAGGCAGGTAAACCTGGAGTGGAAATGAAAGAGGGTCTAGAGCCCAAGTGTGGTGAGGAGCAGCTGAGGGAGCTGGGGGTGCTGAGCCTGGAGCAAAGGAGGCTCAGGGGAGACCTTCTGGCTCTGCACAGCTCCTGACAGGAGCCTGGAGCCAGGGGGGGGTCGGGCTCTGCTCCCAAGGGACAAGGGACAGGACAGAAGGACACAGCCTCAAGTTGCCCCAGGGGAGGTTGAGGTTGGACCTGAGGAACAATTTCTTCCCTGAAAAGGTTGCCCAGGGCTGTGCCAGGCTGCCCAGGGCAGTGGCGGAGTCCCCACCCCTGGAGGGGTTTCAAAGCCATGGAGACATCTCAAACCATGGTGCTGAGGGACATGGATTAGTGGTGACCTGGCAGTGCTGGGTTAATGGTTGGACTTGATCATCTTGAAGGACTTTTCCAACCAAAATGATTCTAGGATTCCATGATTCTGTTTCAGACTCAGATGATTAACATTCTGCCTTCAGCTCTCCTCGTGACAGAGTTGTAAGGCCCTGCAGAAGCATTTGGTTTTGTCTGCAGTTCAGATGCTTCTCTGCTGATCTGAGCATTCAGGGGTAGGGGCTGTAGGTCAGTAGTTCTGAGATCAAAGGCTGGCTTAACAATGAGGTTAGTTGAGAACTGTTTGGAGTGAATCCATAAGGTGAAAGAGCTGGTGGCTTCGTTCTGCCACTGCTCATAGTAATTGCAGGTGGCCAAAAGTTCTTGGGACTTGGCTTTGTGTGGTGAAAAAAGCCAGTAGCAAACCAGGAGTGAGCACAGACTTGGTTTTCTTCCTGATGTTGCCTTCTGCAGTGGCTTCTCTGGGCGAGCTGCATGTGAGCTCTGAAGCAGCCTGTTGTGGTTTAACCCCACACAGCCACCCACTCACTCCTCCCCCCTCCCAGTGGGATGGGGAGGAAAATGGGGGGAGAGAAAGTAAAACTCATCAGTCAAGATAAGAACAGCTTAATAAAGAAAAGATTATAATGACAATAACGAAAATATAATTGTAATAAAAGGGAATACAATGAGAAGAGGCAGAAATAAACCCAAGACAAGTGGTGCATAGTGCAGCTGCTCACCCCCCAAGTGATCTGCCCCCCGGCCAGCTCCCCCCAGTTTAGATACTGGGTGTGACATCCTGTGGGGTGGAATGTCCCCTTGGCTAGTTCAGGTCAGCTGTCCTGGCTGTGCTCCCTCCCAGCTTCTTGTGCTCTGGCACACGTGGGAAGTTGAAAAGTCCTTGATTTCCCAGCAACAACAGAAAATGCCAGTATATTATCAGCATTCTGCTCCTACTAAATCAAAAATGTGGCACTATTTTAGCTACTGAGAAGGTGCTCTGGCACACGTGGGAAGTTGAAAAGTCCTTGATTTCCCAGCAACAACAGAAAATGCCAGTATGTTATCAGCATTCTACTCCTACTAAATCAAGTGTGGCACTGTTCTAGCTGCTGAGAAGGACAATTAGCTCTATTCCAGCAGAAAACAGGACACAATCTTGGGAACTGCAGCTCCCAGGAATCACTGTGGGGGTTCAGTGCCCACTCACCCCAGCTCTGGTGTTGTTTGAACCCTCTGCTGAACAGTCAGCTCATTGACATGGGGGGGGTCTCACTGGTCAGTGATTTGCCTCTGCTCCCTGTGGGGTCCAAGGAGTGGCCAGGAACAGAGGATGGTGGAGAAGGACTGTAGAGGACTTTTGATTTTGGCAGGACCAAGCTACTCTGTGACTTCAGCCTTGGTGGAGACACAGCTTTCCTGTGTATTCCTCTCACCCCTCTGCTCCTCATCTTTTATGCCTGAAAGATCAAAGCCAGCTGCCTGGGCTAGATATTTTAAAAGGAGATCTCCCTGTAAAGCTGAGCAGGAACATGTGCTGTGTAGTCAGGTTTGGGCACATCCTTGTCAGTCTGAGTGTCTTTCCTTTCACGTTGTGCAGTGGAGACATTCAGTGACTTGTCCTTCAGTGACATTTTCCTGCATCTGCTCACTGGTCACCTCACGCTGCTGGGCGACGAATTCGCACTCGAGGAGTTCTGCACCAGCCTCTTTGATGGCTTCTTTCTCACTGCCTGCTCAAGGTAAACCTGATTTTCCTCAGGGGAAAGTGACCTTATAGGATACCTGAGAGAGGTTCTACTGCTTTGAGTTAAACTTTAATAGTTCAGCAAACTCCTCATGTACAGTGGAAATGTTAGCCTGGTGCTGATTTTCTTTAAGGAAAGGTTTATATTTTGTGGTCAGGGTTTTATCAGCAAATTGTTACATGTTGATTATGAATTATTACCTAAACTGTAATTCACTGTTTGTAAGTTAGAGTTGCAGAATTTCCTTCCTGCTTTGCAGTAGCTTGGAGTATGGAGGGCCCCCTTTAGCTCTTTACACACAGAAAATCTGGTTGTCTTAATGCTGTTCAGTTGCTGTGGTTCAGCTGGTGGCCCACAGACCAGATCTGACCTTCAGGAGGCTTCCCTAAAAGGGTTAAGAACTGCTGTTCAGAAACAGCAGCATGTGCTGCTGCTGTGGGTTAAAGATCCTCCTGCACGTGCATGTGGCCTGTCCAACAGAGAGCCCAGCTGAGAGCCCTGCTCCAGTCTGTGCTGGAGATCTCCCCCTCCTTCCTCCTCAGGGCTGCTGCAGTTACTCCACTCCTGCTGGATGACATCAATTGCTTGGAAGTCTCAGGCAGGGTTTCACTTTGTAGTGGACAGGCTACAATTCTCAGGTGTTTGGGGAATGATGACAAAGCTGCCAGTCCGTGGGGGTGTGAGTTATTCTGGTACTGTGGCTGAAGCTTTCCTGTTCTTAAGATGGTGTTTCTTTACATCAGTTACCCTGCTTTAAATGGCTCTTTGCAGGAAGGAGAACGTCCACAGACATGTGCTGAGGCTGCTGCTTCATCTGCATCACAAAGTGGCGCCTGCCAAATTAGAGTCTCTCCAGAAGGCTCTGGAACCCACCAAGCAGGTAAGGAGGGAAGCATGAGAAAGGGCAAATGAATTGCAAATGAAAGCAGCTGCCTTTCCAGACGTTGCTTAATGGAACATGAGCTCTGCTCTCCAAGCGTGCTGGGCTGTGTCTCAGTTCCCCTGGGACTTCCTCTGCCTGTGGGGGGTTGTGTTCAGAGAGGGGCAGGAGCGTGCTGGCTGTTGTGGGGACTCACAGCTGGCATGGAGCGTGACTCTCCTGGCTTCCCCCTCCCTGGTTCTCATCCTGCAGGGCGGGGAGGCTGTGAAGGAGCTTTACAACCAGCTCACTGAGAAACTGGAGCTGCGCAAGCCCAGCCCAGCCGAGGCGACCGAGCCGCCCTCCATGGAGCTGCCCCTGCCCACGGTGCCCACGCCAGCCTCACGCTGAGCTCTGGCTGCAGGAGAAGCCCTGGTGGAGTGCAGGGCAGCGTGAGGCTCCTGGACTCCCTTCCAGGTGTCTGCCTACAGGGAGGAAACAAAACCCAGCCACTAAAGCTCTTTCAGGAAACACTGCAGTTTACCCAGCTCACTGGCTCTTGCTGGTTAGAAAGCCCTGTGTGCAGTGCATTGCAAAGGTTTACTTTTCTTCAAGTTAGCTGAGTGTCTTCTTGTAGTTCCATTTAAAATCTGACTGTATATGTTTTTTTTTCAAAAAGAAAATGCATATTTTTAAGTTTGGCGTCTTGTATTTTTAAACTCGGCTTTAAGAACGGATCAGTGAGTGTTTAACTCTGTTATGGTCGAGCAGAGGAGCTCCTGAAGGCCAGCCATAACTTTCCTTGGTTGTTAGTTGCTCCTCTGGGCCTTTGGAGAAGATATTCCACAGAAGGAGGTATCAGATGAGATAAGCTCCACTGACAGAATTTCCTGTTTGAGGTTCTGGTGCATGGTGAGATGTGTTGTGTTAGTCAGAGGTGTCCACCACTGTCCCTGGACGCCAGGCAGTCAGCAGCCATCTTCTCAGCTAGGCTCTTACAAAGACAGCCAGGAATTGGATCGTTCCCTCGCCTTTTCTCCCCACTCTTCCCCAGATGAGTAGCTTGAAATGAGTCCTGGGACCAGTGAACCCAAGACCAGCACATTCCCCAGTGACAACAGGGTTTGAGCGTAGGTGGAGCGAAATTCTCTTGGAAAAACCAGCCTGTTCTTCATGGTTCATCTGTGATGGTGTCTGGGCTGTTACAGTTAATTCCTCTTCTGCTTCTGCTGCCTTGGTGTCAGGTAGAGCAGGTGGAGTGTGCAGGGGAGTGGGCATAGGAGAAGGGTGAGTTGTGAGAGCTTGCCATGGACTTTACACCAATTTTGGCAGGTAGAACATGCCTGAAAGAATCTTGCCAGTCCCAGCCCCTTGTAAGCAGGAAGCTGCCTCCATGAATTACCCTGAGTCACAGAATAATTCAGGTAGGAGGGCACCTCTGAGGGTCTGTGGGCCACCCCTGACTCCCAGCAGGACCATCCTAGGTGAGATTGCTCCAGAGCAGGACTTTGTGTTGACCTTTGTTGAGTTCCATGAGGTTTCTGCTGGGCCACTACACTTTCTACAGTTGTGCCAAAAGCTGTGTGAGGTCCAGGTAAGTGACCTGCTGCACCACTCAGCCCAGCATCTCCTTGAGGAAGGTTACTGGGTTTGTAGGGTACAATTAACCCTTGGGATTCTCCCAGCCATGCCCTGTCACTTTCTCCTCCATCCTTTTTCTGGATATGATAGTTTGAGGGCTTTTTTTCCCTGTCACCCCTTGTTTCCTAGGACTTCAGCACTCGCAGGGCCAAGTCACACTGATTGATGAGACCCATTTCCCAAAGCTATATCCAAAAAACCCCAAGAGACAGAAGCAGACACTAGTGGAGGTGGAAATGTCTCCCCAGAGCTGCTGGCTCCCTCTTGACGTGGTTTTCTTCCCCCTGAGCTCTCGAGTGCTGCGTGAGGGAAGTGAATGTCACCTCTGCTCATCACCTTGGGGCTTCACTTCTGCTGCTTGGGGACTTGTGTGACCCTTGTGGGAGGGCAGGGCAGGCAGGCTGGGGCTGTGGGACTGGGGCAGTGTCCTCTCGTCCCTGCTGCCCTTCTGCACTGACCCCCGGGGGGCTGTGCTGCCTCTGGCAGGCTCAGACCTGTGAGAAACAGGAACTAGTTACAGCACTCAGGTCTTTCTTGCAAAGTTTGTTTTTAAAGGGTTTGAACTGTTATGGTAACTGACACCAAACAACCTCCCACGCTGCTGACAGACCTCACACCAGGAGCCTGCTCCAGCCCGAGCTCTGCTCACACTCAGAGGTTATTTTAGGCTTGTGGTGGGGATCCCCTGTGACTAAAGGTTTCCTCACACCATGTCCTGACTTGGTGCTTTCCTCCTGCACAAGCTGCTCTCAGTCTGGGCTCAATGTGTGATTTGCTAGTTGGTAGGAACGCCTCTTGTGTTTCCTGTACCCACAGAACTGAGCTATGTGCTGGGGATTTTTTTTCCAGGTTTTTAGATCCACAGAGCAGTTGAAGCCCAGAGCAGAGAGTGGCCATTGCCTGTGCTGGTGGGGAGATGGGTGGGCACTGGAGGGTGGAAGTGGCTGCCAGTCCCTGCTCTCCTGGCCTGCCCTCTGCACAGAGAGCTGATGGCCTGGGCAGGCTGCAGGTTTGGGTGGAGGGGAACCTCATGAAGTTCAACAGGGGCAAGTGTGGAGCCCTGCACCTGGGGAGGAAGAACCCCCTGCAGCAGTACAGGTGAGGGGTGACCTCACCCCTCCAGAGAGG